TGGCTCAGTGGTTCTGCCGCCTGCCTTGCAAGTGGAAGTTCCCGAGTTCGATCCTTGGTACCAAACAAAAACAAAACAACAAACAAAAAAAAGTCATACTTGCTCATTGTAAAATATTTCAATGCTGAGAACTTATGTGATACAGAGCAAGGAGACTCTCCTGGGATTAGGAGCAAACCCATCCCTAAGTGAGGGAAAGACACTGACTGGTTTCCTTTCATCCTATGTACAGAACAAAATTATATGTACTGTATTTTTATAGATGATGTTAATGTAAAGTAGCGGTAGCCTGAATCTTGTTCTGGATCTTGACTTTTTTCTATGCATAATTAAGTGTATTTAAGATGATTTAAAATAAATTATGAGTCATACCTCTGCCTTTCTGTACCAGTGAAATGAAATGTGATGTGTCAAAATTGAGTTAAATCCATAATCTCTCTGGATGTGCTTTTGACTTGCACATAACGAAGAGCAGGCAGGCAAGAGTGAGGCGGTTTCACACACTGTATTGACGTTCAACAACAAGAAGGTCAGAGTGGGGAGTTGATGTCAATATGTTCCTCCCGAACTGCAATAAAGCTGTCCCAGCAACTGCAGTCCCAGCTGCCATTTCCCCTAATTTGGGTGCAAATGTGCTGTTCAGACCCTCCACTCCTTTGCTATGAAAACATTGTGCTTTGACAAGGCTTTGTTTCTCAGTATTGATATAATCCTAGATTTCAGGTTTCAAAGGCAAAATTTCCACACCAGATAGGAAGACCTTTGACAAAAAGATAACAGCTGAGATTTCTGCCACATGAAAATTACTGAATAATTGCACAGCAGGTTGTCGTCATTCTAAGTGTCATACAGTGAATTTAATTCTCCAGTTTGCTTTCCAGTGTTTTATGGGAGATGCTTTTCTTACGGGTACCACTAGGACTTTGAAAGGTTGGCCAAATGTATTCCTCTACCTCCTTTTTGTGCCCAAGAGGGTAGACACAAGCCACAGCTGAATAGGCAGCATGTCACTGTGACAATGCATTAGGTAGATCCCATTTAGATCCCATTTTTTTTCCCCATCAGGGGGACCACTTTAGCATGGGCAAAATCCACACGTACACACATCCTTTCGCAGGTTAAGAAGGTTCTTCAGTTTGCACATTGGGCAGCAACGAAAGAGGAAAATCAGAAAAACAGAGCTTCTTAGGGGGCCTCTGTCCTGGAGACCCCTTCTTCATGGGAAATGCCTCCAAAACAAATGCTTGTCACTCTCTGCCTGCTCCAGACAGGTGAACCCAAAGCCAGGTGACTTATGAGCCCTGCTGAAGACAGGGAGAGGTGGAGGAGTCAGAAAGGGCCCACCATCAGCTCAACACCTACAGGCCCTGAATATTTTTTTTTTGTTTTTTTTGGTACCAGGGATCCAACTCAGGACCTTGCGCTTTCCAGGCAGGCGGCAGAACCACTGAGCTAAATCCCCGGCCCCAAGCCCCGAATATTTTAACTCTGAAGACCCAATTTTAATTTTATTTATTTATTTTTTTGGTACCGGGGATTGAACTCGGGTCCTTAGCTTGCGAGGCAGGAGGTGGAACCACTGAGCTAAATCCCTAGCCCTAAAAACCCAATTTTTAAAAAGTCAATTCTGGGAGAATTAGAGAATTGTAAAAAATTAAGAATTATTTCAATGGCAGTTCCTCTGTATATTCAGCATAACCCGATTTAAGTTTTCTCTTGGTGTTCCACCCATTCATTCCCAACTCGCTTTCCTGGAGCAGCCTGCTGGAGGCCACTTGCACTGGGCCTCTCTTGAACAGGGCATTCTGCTCCCCGGCCACCATCCTGACTGGCATCTGTACTCACTCCACATACACGGCCACGGGCAAGCCCCTCCGCCCTTCAGCTGTGGTCACTTCGCCCTCAGAACACGATCTGGGGAACAACCTGAAGGGATCATGGTAAAACAGACAGAGCACGGCGCTGATGTTGGGTGGGATGTGCAAAGACGGATGGGAATAGGGTGCCTCGGTACTGTTAGAGTGTGCTGCATTTTATTTGGGAAATGAAACAAAATCTTCCCATGATCAGCCACTCCATGTGACATCCCAGCCCACACTCTGCTACTGACATTTTATCTCCCACTGAACAGCCCGGCTGTTGTAACATTTTCAGGATTCTTAATTTATGTCTTGCAGGATCTAAAATCAGATGGCAGGGACTGTAAGAAAACAACCAGTGTTGACAGACACCTTTATACTTCAAGAAGCTGCTATACCTTAGTGGTAGTAAAAGTTGGGAATGGGCTGGGGATTTAGCTCAGTGGTTCCGATGCCTGCCTCAAAAGCGCAAGGACCTGAGTTTGATCCCGGGTACCCTGCCCCAAAAATAAATAAAAGTTGGGGAACATTTTCTCCTTCATGTTCCAAAATATGTGCAAAAAACAGTGGGGTGGAGATAAGGAGCTGATTTAAGTCATTTAATTTTCCTTTTCCATCTCCACTCTATGAAAGACTTTTCCTTCCATTCAGTGTTTGCAAGCAAGCTTATTTCTTTTTCTTAACACAAGGGATTGCAGCATTTAATTAATTTAAATTAGAGTAGCCAAGAAAAATTTATGGTAACTAAATTAGCTTTTTCCCCCAGTATTGAGGATTGAACCCAGGGCATTGTGCTTGCAAGGCAAGAATTCTACACTGAGCGACATCTACAGCCCTTTTTTTGAGACAGGTTCTTGCTATAAATCTTTGGCTGACCTCGAATTTGTGGTGCTCTTCCTGCCTCAGTCTTCTGAGTGCTGGGATTAGAGGCATGCACCACCATACCTGGGTTCATCTACAACCTTTTTTTTTTTTTGCAGGCAGGGTCTCATTAAGTTGCCCAGGCTAGCCTCAAATTTTCTATTCTCCTGCTTCAGCCTCTTGAGTAGCTGGGATAACAGGCATGTTCCACCATGTCTAACTAGGTTTCTTATATATAGCTAAGAACTACGGAAAAGTCAAAGTACTAAAGGCAAGATCAGCAACTTATTGCAAACTTTATAATTTTTGAACTGTTTATTCTTAGGCTGCTATTGAGGGAAAATATGAGGAGGTAATTACTGCTTTATAAAAGAAGCAAAAGAGGTTCTGAAAATGGAAATGACTACTCTCAAATCATTCTGCTGTGGAAAAATTGGAACTCAAACCCAAATCACTTCTTTTGGGGGGGTACTGGAGATTGGACTTAAAGCTTTTGCATGGAGCTACATACCTAGCCCTTTTTATTTTATTTTTTGCAAAGTTTATTTGAAAAAGCAAAAGTGAAGAGTGAGAGAGGAACTGGCTCTGCAGAGTGAGCTTGGGGTGAGTACAAGAGGAAAAAGCAAGACAAAAGTACACTCTGGAGGAAGTGGAGTGGGCTAGCATGAGGAAAGCCATGATAGCCTTATTTTTTATTTTGAAGAGAGGTTTTGCTAAGGTGTTAAATTGCCTAGGCTGCACTTGAATTGCAGTCCTCCTGCCTCAGCCTCCTGGAGTACTGGGATTATAAGCCTGTACCACCATGCTCAGCTACATTTTTGTTTTTGTTTTTGTTTTTTGAGGCAGGGTCACACCAGACTGGCCTTGAATCACTGTGATCCTATTGCCTTAACCTCCCAAGTGCTGGGATTACAGGTGTGCGCCACCACACCCCGGAATGCTTTTTTCATTATAGCACAGTTGTAAAAGCAGCAACTTTGGATTGGTTTAACATCTGAATCTGTGAAAATCTTTACTCTCCAGCTTATTAAGGTGGTGAATACTTGGGGGTTAGGGGTTGATGTGCTGAAGCCAGGATGCCAGTGTACACCTTGGTTCTGGAGTCAGACTTGATCCTCCTCTTAGGATGGATTTGTACCTACTTATCTGCAACGCAGTGATTGAGTCCGATGACTAACTCTGCCACTAACTGCTGACCAGGGCATTTCTCTGGGCCTCATTTGCCTGTACTGAAAAATGGATATGATATGATAATAGCACGTACTGTTATGAAGATTAAATAAGTTTATGGAAAATCCTATATCAAGATTAGTATCATCTATCAGTTTGCCACATGCTTTCATAAATGCAGTATATTGTAACTCTAATGTGCTTGAGTAAACCTCTGGATGGATGATAAAGCAAAGAAAAGCCCTGCTCCATCCTTGAAGATCGGAAACTAATTTACTCCTTTAATACAGTGCCTTGCAAACAGTGGAGGCTTAAAAACACCTCTACCGTGAACTGAATACTCTGGGTAGTACCAGATCTTTCAGGCTTAAGGTCCAAACTTTACTACAAGTCACCTCCCCTCCAGCTCATTTATCTCAAAAAGCGGAGGCCAGGAAAAGGATTTGTAAACGATTCCCACAAGACTCAGGTGAGAACGAAAACCAATTCTTAGAAACTACAAATTTTACATCCTGGTGCCTGAAGTCTGGCCCTATGTGCATGTTCTCTGCACTAAAGCTCAGGAAGTCGTTTTTGTGCTGTTGGGATGAAACCCTTAACAGCCCCTCGGTAGGTGGTTCCAATTTTCTTAGCCGCTTTCACTCCCAGGTTGCCAGGGGAAGCCTGGCCGACGAGGCCATATGGGCAGACTCACGGGGTGACAAATCGAGGAAGAAAAGTAAAACTAGGTTAAACCCAATGACCAGGTGGTGGACCCGCAGCCCCAGCTCGCCCCTCCCCTCCCGGCCCCGCCCCAGCCGGAACTAGCCCCTCCTCGCCCCGCCCCTCCTGGCCCCGCCCAGAGGCCGTTGCACCTGACCTAGAGGTGTCTACTGCGGGACTCCGTCCGTGGGGCGCTTGCGCATTTCTTAAGGCGTCTTAGCACTGCCTGAACCTAAATAGGGCAGGAGAGAGAGAACCTTGTATTTTCTACAGATCCAGACATCGCTGTTATACGTGGTGTCTTTGAGCTAGTTTTGCCTTAGTGGTCGTGATAACATGGATTCTCTTTCCTTGATGAGGTTTAAAAGGGCCCGTTTTAAATTAGGCGCTCTCCGGGCAGGCGGTCTCCTGGTGCGGGGTCCTTGCGCCGCGCCTTGGGACGGCAACAGGGGAGGCGGGGTCCTTTTCTAGGTTGGTCGCACAGGCAGCGGCTGTGGGCTCCTGGGATCCGGGAATCATGTATTACAAGTTTAGTGGCTTCACGCAGAAGTTGGCTGGAGCATGGGCTTCGGACGCCTATAACCCGCAGGTAGAGATCATGCTGCACCAGCATGGATAGGAAAAGTGACCCAAGTGTCCGAGCCAGGCTGTCTCGGCGTCGGAGCCCAGACCGGCTTGTGCTCCTGAATCGGTTCGGGTTTGCTCACACCTCCTGGTTACTTTCCCTCACTGTCCTGCAGTGGTCATCTAGGCTTCTCCTTGGGTAGGTGCGTCCTAGGGGGGGTTGGCCTGGCACAGAAATTGGTTGTGTCTCTGTAGGGGTCAAGGTGACCCCGGTATTGTTGCTTTTCTAAAATGGATGACTCGTGTTGTTGGTCAGGCCCGTAATATAACCCACCTGAGTTTGAGGTGCGGCGCTCTCTCCACAGCCACTTTGGAACAGTTTGACAGTATTCTTAAAATAGGAAACATAATTTTTTAATATGGCCCAGCAATTCTTGTCCTAGTTAAGATGGCAGAATGAGATTCTAAGCGAAGGGAACCATGAGAGAGAAGGGGGAGGGGGCTAGAAGAGAATCATTGAGGTGGCGAGCTTGTCTGGATGGTGCAGGTGGAACTCGAAGGGCCTGTGATAATAGGATTTAAATTTTATGAGAACTGAATATAGTTTGGTGCAGATACTCGTGGTAGACTTCTTTTGTTATTGATGAGATTGGAAATGAAGAAGGGACTGCAGAATGACAGAATGTAAGGGTGATGGTGCCCTCTAAACAGAGACAAAGCTACGGAGGGTGCTTGGGAGCGAAGTTTGATATGCTGAGTGCGAGGTGTCAGGGATATAGAGGTGATGATTTCCACCTTGCAGTTGGAGACGAATTCCGTCATTGTGGGTTGAAACTAGTTTCCAGTCCTAAGTCAGAGTGTAATAGTTCATACGTTTCTGAAAGTAAAAAATTTTGCTGGGCATGGTGGTTCATGACTGATTTTAGCTTGGAGATTAGTTAGGAGGAGTTGTAGAAGTCCAGGGGCTTGGAGTAGAGTGTAGATGGGTGGAAACAGGAGAGAAGTGGTTAGGTTCTGAGTATTTTTTGAAGGTAGAGCCAAAAGTACTTGCACTGTGTGAACGACAGGTGTCAGTAATTGCAAGGTTTTCTCCCTGAGATCCTGGAAGGATGGTATTGCTGGCGATCAAAATGGGGAGGGACATTTGAAATTCACAGTTCTAGGTTGGGGCAACTGCAGCTCTGAAGTCGGCATAGGATTTCCCCGGGGTCCCTTCCTGAATACATAACGTCTCTGTCCAGTGCACTTTTTTTTTGGTACTGGGGATTGAACTCCGTACCTTGTGCTTGCAAGGCAGGTGCCAAAACCACTGAGCTAAATCCCCAGCCCTGTCCAATGCACTCTTGAGAAGCCTAGTGCTGGTGAGCTCCCTGCCCTGAAACCCCGGGAACGTTGACTTGACTGCTTTTAAGTTGTTGGGTGGTTTATGATGGATTGGTGAGGTACCTCCCACCATATTCATTGCTTTATCTGTGGGGCTACACAGCTGAATTATTGATAGTATGGGCAATAAAAATATTGACTCTTGAGTCCCTTCTTAGATCTCTGAGCCATGTTTTTTTTTTTTTTTTTTTTGGTACTGGGGATTGAACTCAGGACCTTGCACTTTCCAGGCAGGCGCCAGAACCACTGAGCTAAATCCCCAGCCCTCTGAGCCATGTTTTAATCGTCTCTAACATGGGCCAATAATACTTCATTTACAGGGTCATTGTGCAAAGTAAATTTAGTGTCACTTACGAAGATTATGTAGGAATATGAAAAATGATTATTATAAATGAAAAAGCAGAATATAGAATTTTACACCATGATTATACAGTTATTAAAATGAATGGAAAAGGATTGGGGAGAATTTACAGTTCAGAGTAATTGATGGGATAAGATCATAGGTAACTTTAAAGTTCTGTATTCTGAACTTTTATAATGTTATAAGTGGAAATACGGAATTATTTAAAATTGTCAAGATGGTTGATACTCCTGTTTTCAGATGATACTGTTCAAAAACTGCTGTAGTTTTGAATCAGTAGATGGATGAACAAAGTGAGATGTAATCCGTTCTAAAAATGCTCTCACGTGAGTGCTGTCAAAACATGAATTTACTTTCAAACCATTTTTGGAGATGCTTAATAGAAAGGGTTTTTCAATTTTCACACTGGGGAAATGATCATTAGGGAGCTCACAGAGTGAACCAAAAGGGACTGTAACACTCCAGCCCAGCTAGAGAGCCTCCTCAGCCTTGTCATCTCAGGAGCTGGGCCTCTTTCCCTCTCTGATCTCTTTTGCGACTCTGGAGTGTGTTATATTGTAAATGCAGGATGACACTCAATGGGCCAAACTTCTGTTTAAGTGGATTGTTGCTTTTAAGTGGTAATTGATGCTAGTGTGAGGTGTTAGTAGTGGAATACTTAAAGCCAGGGCTCTGGACTTCAGAGAGGCTTGAGCTTGAAAACTTGGTTTT